GGCTTTCAGGGCTTTCAGGGCCATGGAGTGATGCTTTGTGCTGCCAGCCTTGCAGCATCACAAACCTGCAACTGGGCTCAGGCATTTCTCCAAGGATGGAGGTGTCTCTCTGCACCATCATCCACCCCTCCATCTCTCCATCTTTCCTGCCTGGCTGGCAATTCCCACCAGAGCCTCCACTATACATCCCATCACCAAGCCCCCCACATCCCTTCCTTGCCCTCCAAAGAAAATCCCAAACTCACCCAAGGAAAGGGCTACAATGGAGAGAAAGGCTCTGGCATTAAAATCTCTGCATGGATGGAGTGGGAAGAAGGCAGGACCAAAGATGTGACTTCTCTAGGAAGCCACATCTTCCTCCCTTTAACCCTTCCAGGGCCAGTCTGCCATCGCAACAAGAGCAGGGAAAAATTGGGGTATTTGTAAAAAAATTAAAAATAAAATAAAATAAAATAAACCCTCCCCAAATTCTCACTTCCCAGTAGGGTTGCCAGATCCCCAGCCCTGGCCCTGAGCATCCTCTATTTTTTGGAGGCAGAAAAAGAAGTGCAAATTCAGGCAAGAGGAAAGAAAGGTCTTTCTTCAAATTGCAAATCATCCAGAAAAGAGGGGAAAGAATGGCTATTCTGTCTCAATCCTGGTCTTTATGGTGCCAGGACTCACCCTCTGCTCTCCTAGGAAGAAGTTGGATAGATTAAACATTCTTCATCCTCCCAGTGTGATGCAGCATCTATGTCAGGATGCAAAGGGATCTGTAGCACCTTTGAGACTAACTGAAAGAGAAAAGTTGGTAGCATGAGCTTCCCTAGGCTTGAGCCTTCTTCCTCAAAGGAAAGCTCATGCTACCAACTTTTCTCTTACAGATAGTCTCAAAGGTGTTACAGGCCCCTTCCCATATTGATTCTCCAGCCTAACATAGCTATGTCTTCGAAGTCTACCATCTAAGTCAGCAATATGATGCGGCAGCTAAAAAGGCCAATGTGATTTTAGGCTGCATCAATAGAAGTATAGTTTCCAGATCAAGGGAAGTAATAGTGCCACTCTATTCTGCTTTGGTCAGGCCTCATCTGGAATACTTGTGTCCAAAATGAATTTCGACTAGGAGAAATGTAAGGTACTGCAGTTTGCAGAAAAAATAAAATGCATAGATATTAGGATGGGGGACATGTGAAAAGGATCTAGGAGTTCTAGTAGACCACAAGTTGAACATGAGTCAACAGTGTGATGCGGCAGCTAAAAAGGCCAATGTGATTCTAGGCTGCATCAATAGAAGTATAGTATTTAGATCAAGGGAAGTAATAGTGCCACTCTATTCTGCTTTGGTCAGGCCTCACCTGGAATAATACTGTGTCCAGTTCTGGGCACCACAATTCAAAAAGGATGTTGAAAAACTGGAGTGTGTCAAGAGGAGGGCAACTAAAATGGTGAAGGGTCTGGAAATCATGCATTACGAGCAGCGACTTAGGTAGATGGTATGTTTAGCCTGGAGACAAGATGGTTAAGGGGTGACATGATTGTTGTTGCATGCCTTGAAGTTGCTTCCAACTTATGGCAACTCTAAAGCAAACCTTTCATGGGGTTTTCTTGGCGAGATTTGTCCAGAGGATATTTGCCATTGCCTTCCCCTGAGGCTGAGAGAATGTGACTTGCCCAAGGTCACCCAATGGGTTTCATGACTGAGCTGGGATTTGAACCTTAGCCTCCAGAATCCAACACTCATACCAATATGCCACGCTGGGTTTAAATATTTGAAGGGGTGTCATACTGAGGATGGCACAAGCTTGTTTTCTGCTGCTCCAGAGAATAGGACATAGAGCAATGGATGCAAACTACAGGAAAAGATTCCACCCCAAAATTAGGAGGAAATTCCTGACGGTAAGAGCTGTTTGACAGTGGAAGACACTCCCTCAGAGGATGATGGAGTCTCTTTCTTAGGAGGCCTTTAAACAGAGGCTGGATGGCCATCTTTGGGTTTGCTTTGATTGAGAGTTCCTGCATGGCAGAATGGGGTTGGATTGGATG